CATTGCACCATTATTCTTTATACTTTCACATTTTTAATAAATATTTTTTATCTACTCAATTAAAAATAAAGAAAAAATAGGCATCAGCCGACTAGTGACAAGCCAGGAGCAGTTGGGGTTGACATCAAAGGCCTAACTGGTATTGGGATGGGATGAGCGCAGGGACGTGCTCCATCTCCCTGTGAGAATTCTGGGATGATCTTGATGGCAGAACTAACTCAATGAACTGAATCTTAGTCTCCATAAGTACATAGCAGGCCCAATGTTGCTTTTTTCTCAGTGAAACTATTGTTCATTGATCAGGCTTCAAGTGAGTAAAATCTTCCAGAGGCTTAGTAGGAATTTAAGTGTAAAGAATATGGTAGCTTCACCGTAGATCTTCAGAGGCCGTCTTGCTTTCCATATTGAAAGTGGGGTCCTATGAGAGTTGATGCAGATGGTATAGAGGAGGGTCTCTATCCTGGTATGACAGGACGGTAAAGGCAGTTAAGGAGAAGGGATGGCATGAGAAGGGAAAGATTTTTGTGGTTACTTTAGAAGCCCCTTAAAAACCTGTCTAATCCTGAGATTCTGTTTTAGGGTGTGTTAGGGGTAGAGGTCCATCTAAAAACATTTCATTTTCTTAATTTTCATTAGGGCTGGCCTAGACTTTTCTTCCTCTTCTGAGGCTGCTGGGTCTTTTATATCACATCAGCTGCACAGCTTCCTGCCTCACTGCTTACCCCACACCCATAGTCAACCCCCCTGGATTCCTTGGGGCCACCTGCACAGAAACATGCCTCTCAGATAATGGAAAATTATTCTGAATGCTTATTTTAGATTGAGAAATATCCGCTCTCATGCTCATGCTGCTAATATGTCTGTTCTGATCGGTGGTTTTTGCACAGCTGAAGGGTCATGCCGGCCCTCCCTCTGCCTTCAAGCAGGACTGCCTTCTCCTATTTCTGATGGCTCATTTCATCTTCAAATAACTAACTGAAGGCCTGGTGGCTGTTATAATGGAGGGGAGAGGAGTGTGACTCTCATGAAAAGAAGTATGGGCCCTGCCATTGAGGAGGCCTCAATCAAATAGCAAACATTTAGAGGCAGGGACAATGGTTCCCGTAAGGCTAACTGGAGCTGAAGAGAGGTGCTATAGCCTCCATATTGGCCCTATTCCTGAGTCTCCTCAGGTTTCTCAGGCTATCGAATGCCTCTTGTCTCTAATTTCCTCAGGATCGGTGGCTTGAGCTTTGGCCATGAGCCTGAGCTCCGGGCTTACTGCTGGGTCCTCTGGAAATCGATTTTCTTTTTTCCTCTGCTCTTTCCCAGGGGACTCTCTCTGCCTTGTACTCAGATTTCCACTGAGACTGAATAGACTTAGTCATGGTGCAGAAACAGAGAGCTGAAACATGAGTCCAGAGAAATTTGTGTACAAATTTGTGTGGGCTTTGGATGGTAGGAGATCATAAGGGACTAATCTAATATCTGATTTGGTGCCGTTACCAATCTTCTTCCCCTTCCTGTGTTGCTCCGGTCTGGTCACCAGAAACACGTAAGGCTTGGGTGAGGATAGGGCAAGATACTTGAATTCTCATCATTGCTCTCCCAGTGATTTTCCCTGTAGCCTTCAAGCAATTTCCTGCCTCTTGTCCCCAGTTGTTTCGCCAGTGAAGTGGAAGATTGTTGCACTGACCTATCCCAGAGTGTTTGTGAAGGCCAGTGGGATATCAGACAATTACATGCTTTCAAAGGTCTCTGAGCTCTATGGGGGACTTCTGGAATAATTGAGAGCACTATCGTTCCATCCACAACCCTAAGGATGCAGAAGATGCTGATGCCAACCTAGCCAATCTGAATGATGAAAGCCAGTCACAAAGTTGAAAATAGGCCCCAGATGCAAGGGGACGAGACAGTTAGATTTACTTCCTCTTTTCTAATTTGAGAGGTTTCATATTGAGCAAAATCAGTGTGTTAGAAGCTGCAGGACACTTAAACACCGTCACCATGAAGCTGAGCTGTGTCCTCATGGCTGGGGCCTTCTACTTCTCTCTTACTATGCTCTGGACAGCTCAGATACTACTGGGTAAGTGAAATGTTTGGATGTGTGGAAATGGAGATATGCCTGACTGTGGGAAGAGACCCAAACGAAAGAAACGCAGACTAACTTCTGCCCTCTAAAGAAGCAGTGTGCAGGTGGGATATGAAGGATAGATATTAGGAAGTTTGGTGTGCAGGATTGAATGGATCTTTCCGAATATAAAAACCTTCAAGACTTTTCCATCCTAAAAGTCCCCTTGACTATGACGCCCTCACTAGCTAAAATCTCAACTCTTTTCTTCCTTTTCTCAGATAAATTTCTTGAAAAAGAATTCTGTACTTGCTATCGCCACTTCCTCACTTTTCACTCACTCCTCAATGCTCACACTCTGGCTTCCATCAGAATCAATTTTGCTCAGGATGCAATGACCTCTGTATTGAGTGGGCCATTTCACACTCTTTAATTCTTAACCTGCTGGACTTCTCTGCTGCATTAGGCACTGTTGATCACTTATTCTTTCTTGGCATTCTCTACTCTGGCTTCCACGCACCATTTTCTCCTTGTATTCCATCTACCTGCCTTTGTCCCTTTGGTGGTTTCTCTTATCTTTCCCTTAAAGACTGGTATTTTCTACAATTGAATCCTTGTCTCCCTACTCTTCCTTCTTTACACAATCGTCTTAGTGAGCTTATTTGTCTGTATAATTTTCCCACTACAACTGTATAATTAAGAGTTCTAAATCATATCTCCAACCCTAATTATTCTTTTGAGTTTCACACTCAAATATCAAGGTTTGCACAAGACATATCTACCTACAAGTATCTCAGCACAATATGACCAGAGCTGAACTCATCTGTCCTCTTGGCCTCTACCTCTCCTAATTTCATCTTTTACTATTTCTGATCTCAGTTAATGGCATCCACCCAGACATCTAGGCCAGAAACTTGGGAGACAACCTAGACTCTTCCCTCTCCATCCTCTGCATATTACGAATCAGAAAGTTTGGCAAAATCTACCTTCTAAATTCCTCTTAGAGACAGTCCCTTCCTTGAAACATAGCTAATAGTATCCTAGGACAAGACCTCATCATTTCTGACTTGGGCTAGTCCAATAACTTTCTAACTAATCTCCCTGTCTCAGTCTTATGCCCTTGAAATGAATTCTGCACTCTGCAGCCAGAGTAATTTCTAAAATTCAGGTCTGCCAGCCCAAGCTCCTTATGATGGCACACAAGGCACACTCTAACCTGGCCTTTATTTAACCTCTTCAGCCTCTACTCTCACCCTTTGAGCCATGCAATTTATGCTCTAATAAATCCCAACAAGCTTATATTCGCACATTCACACACCAGATTCTCACCTGTCTCCAAAGCTTTGCTTCTACTGCTACCTCTCCCTGAAATGAGCTTTCCCCATTGTCCGCTACTCCCCTCTCACTTACAAACTTCTAGGCATCCCTAAAAACTCAGCTTAGGAAATCTTCCTTGAACCCTCCTCTCTGCTCTGATGGCTGCTTGCGACACCTCTTTCTTATTACTTTCCTCCTAATGCTGAAACAATCTCTTCATATGCCTGCGTCATCCACTAAACTGAAAGTTATTTGTAGACAAGGACAATGCCTTTTTGTTTTTGTTTTTTTAACCTTGTCTTATGTATCTTCGAATTCCCAGCACCTGCAGTGTCCCTGCACAATAATTTTGTTGAATTGTTTTATTGAACTCAAACAGGACTGGGTGACTGTATTGAGATACAGCAATGGTATTATGGCAAAAACTCTAGACATGACGTAACTCAGACACTCTGGTTCAAGCCCCTCTTCTTTTATTTACCACCTCTATGAAACTTAAGAAAAATCACTTTTTATATCTCTGAATTCAGTTTTATTATTCATAAAATGAGAATAATAATACCTACCACATAGTTTATTGAGTGAAAGTGCCTGGTAGCCCAATAAGATTTTATTTTCAAAAAGGTGAGGAGGCTGAATCCAGTTGAGTGACAGGGGAGGAAGTGAAAAGGGGTAGCAGAGTGGTGAAGGGAGTTGAGAGAGGATCTAAAGAAAGCACCTGGTTCTGACGTAATGAGAATTAGGAGGTAGAGAGGGGCCTTGCTAAGGGAAGTTACAAGGTCAAAGAAGAGTATTGGGCCAATGAGAGTGGAAACAAAGGCAAGTGGGACAAGAAAGGACAGAGTGAAAGATTGCGTGCACGTGAATGGCCATGGGCCTGGAAGAGGGGGAGAAGGATTAAGAGGGACAAGAAGCAGTTATGGAGATAGAAGAAATGGAATTTACCTTGCCTGGGTCAACCATGGAGCCAAGAGATATGTTGAGGAAATGTGGTGAGAAATCCGTAACTCTGTTTCAACTCGGAAGTAAAGAAAGAATTGTTCCATAGTTACCAGTACAGACTAGCAGTAGAGGGTCAGGGGTAGAGAGAAGGACATAGAAAGGGCTCTACATTGCCAGGGAAAGTTCAAGGTAGAGATGATTGAAAAACGAAGACCTGAAAGGGAGAGCAAGGAAGGAGGAGAGACACAACTAGGTACTGAAAGCTATTTGGTAGATAATATATTCAAAGGTGAAGAGCCAAGTGAATGTTGGGAAAATGAAAATATGGAAGAAATCCCCCAAGGAAGGTCTGAGGACTGAAGTAGATCGTGTGTGAACAGTGAAGGAAAAAGAACACTGATTTTCTTGCTTCATTCCCTACTCTCTTTTTAAACTTTGGCTAAGTTAATTGACTTTTCTAACCCTGTTTCTTTAAGATTTGTAAAATGGGAATGAAATCACATACCTAGAAATTTTGTGAAGATTTAATAGGATAATGTGTGAAAGTGTCTGGCACATGGTAAACACCTGATGAATGCTAGAATCTGATCATCTCCCTTCCCATCCTATCCTGTGTCTGCCTGCTCTGGGGTCATCATCATTTGGGACTCTGGTTTCCTGCATCAGCAGCTGGATGTCACGCTGGTGAGTTCACCATTCTGCCATTCTGTCCCTTCCCTCTTCCCCAAACCACAGTCCATTCACTGAGAGCACATGGAAGCCAGTAAATCAAGTCAAAACTATCCCTCTGAGAGACCCATATGGGTCTCTTGGAAAACAGGTTTTGATGTCTTCTTATTCTCACTCTAAAAAGGATGATTCCCCCCAGGAGAGGGAGGAACCCTTGTGGAGGGCAATTTCCTGTCCTCTTTCTCCAAATCACAGCATCATTTTCTGGTTCTTCTTGGGCCATACCCTCTTCAGCTGCCAGTTTTGAGACGCTACAATGTGAAAGACCTGTCAGCAGCCAGGACAGCAGCTGCCACACAGATGAAGACTTGACAGGCCCAAGAGAAGTTGACTTCCAGCTCAAGGGATACACTTTCAGTCAACCCTTCCATCTGATTGTGTCCTACGGTGAGGTCCCAGAAAGGACTGACCAGTGCAGGCCTGCTCTTTCTCCCATTTCCCAAACCTCTCCTTTCAGCCCTATAGCCCACTCAGTAAGGTGCCCCCAGGAAGCTGGCCATGGTATGAGATACCTTCTTCGCCATCTTCAGCCCACAGGAGCCAGGGTGCCCTCAGTCCCAGGCCCTAACAAAGTTGTTCCGCACTCCCAACCAGGAGTAAGAGTTACCTGGACCCTCAGAGAAAGTTTAGGGGGGTCTGGTGTGGGCAGCACTGGGGGAGCTCCCAAAGAAGGCAGTGGGTCACACTCAGCTCTTGCTTTGGGTCACAGACTGGCTCATCCTCCAAAGTCCAGCCAAGCCCATATTTGAAGGAGACCCACTGGTTCTGCGCTGCCAGGCTTGGCAAGACTGGCCACTGACCCAGGTCACCTTCTACCGAGATGGCTCAGCCCTGGGTCCCCCTGGACCTAACAGGGAATTTTCCATCGCCGTGGCACAAGAGACAGACAGCGGGAACTACCACTGCAGTGGCGTCTTCAGAAGCCCTGGTCCTGGGAGCCCAGAAACGGCATCTTCTGTGGCTATCATAGTCCAAGGTGAGCGCTAGAGGCTGTGTTTGTGGCAGAAGAAGGTGGGGAGAGACAGAGGGACCAAGAATGTCTCTCACTGGAGATAGTAAGATCACTGAAGTCCTCAGGAACATGTTGCTGGCAAATGCCCAAGTTAGGCTTCAGGAGAGGTAGCATCTCAGCACTGCTTTTCAAGTCATTCAGCCCTACTCCAAGTTCAGCATGTTTTCTACCACTCTGTCCCACAGATCTATGCTTCCCAATGTTCGCAGATTGGACATCTGACTATTGTCCAATTTGCCCATCTCTGGATCTTTTCTAGTCCTGTCTACTTGAGGAGAGAGAGGACTTGAAAGATTCAAACGGAACTTTTCTAAGACAGCTCATTACTGATGGAAATAGGGGGAAGGAAAGTGTGACTGGATTTCTTTGCCTGTCATGGGTCCCCTGATGTCAGATGGCTGAGCTCTTCTTTCTCACCTATCTCTCTAGAACTGTTTCCAGCTCCAGCTCTCAGAGCCACACCCTCAACTGAACCCCAAGAGGGAGGCCCAGTGACCCTGAGCTGTCAGACAAAGCTGCCCCTGCAGAGGTCAGCCACCCGTCTCCTCTTCTCCTTCTACAAGGACAGTAAGACAGTGCGCAGCAGGGGCCTCTCCTCAGAATTCCAGATCCTCACAGCTTCAGAGGCACACTCTGGGTCCTACTGGTGTGAAGCAGCCACTGAGGACAACCAAGTTTGGAAACAGAGCCCCAAGCTGGAGATCAGGGTGCAGGGTGAGTTAGTGTGTATTTGTCTGTTTGGTGTGTGTGAAAAGGCGGGGATAGGAAGATTGGGCTCATGAGCTGGGGTTCAGTGTAAGCAGGTTAAGAAAAGACACAGAAGAGGCAGGAACAATAAGGCAGAGTCCCTGGTTTTGGAAGAGAGCACAAATAGGGAACTTCTCCCTCACACCATGGTACATATCTCACCAAAACAAGACGTCAGCCAGCTCCACGGCTGCTGCCCCATAGACCTTACACTCCCTACATGAACTTGGGACATTGGTAGGAATATAGTATCTGAATGAGGTTGAGGTAGTCTGGAGTTTATGTTCTATTCTGGGAGCCTCCATTACAAAGGCTGCACTTGACCTGAAATATAGCCACAAGAGGTGTCCAAGGTAATGAGGGGACTTGAATCCACGTCATAAGAAAAGTAAGGGAAAGGATGGGAGATGCTCATCCTGAAGAAGAGATGACTTAAGGGGCCAGCAGAGAGTGTCCTAAAAATGCTGAAGGTTGGCACAAGGATGAGGAATTATACTAATGTCATATACAATAAAGAGGTTGACCTATGACCAGTTACCACATCTATGTGCTGGGAATTAGATTCTGCCTTGATAGAGGAGAAACTAGCTAATATCCATAGCCCTTTAATGATAACATCTCATTGCTGATGATTTTCAAGCAAAGGTAGCCAAGCTTCAGATTCAAATTTGGACCAGGAGGGACACTAGAGTTCTCAAGTCTCTGCTGCCATTGGGCCCTACAGCTACTTTCAGAGAACAAGAAAGCTTGACCAGGAATATGAGGGTGGGGATAGAGTCATACTTCTCTCTTGTATGTGCCTCCTATCCCATTATCCAGGTCCCTCCAGCTCTGCTGCATCCCCCACCTTGAATCCAGCTTCTCAGAAATCAGCTGCTCCAGAACCTACTCCTACAGAGCCCCGTGAGCCTCTGCCTCCACTGCCTACCCCTTCTTCTGAGGATCCAGGCTTCTCCTCTCCTCTGCAGGTACCAGACCCCCATCTGCATCACCGGATGGGTGTTCTTCTCAAACAAATGCAAGATGTGAGAGCTCTCCTTGGTCACCTGCTCATGGAGCTGAGGGACTTGTCTGGCCACCTAAAGCTTGAGACCACAAAGGGTCCTGCTAAATATGAGTAAACAATGCATCTGCAACTACCCCCAATAAATTCAACTCTTTCTATTTTTTGTCATTCTGTCCTATACATATGCATAAATAGTTTTATAAATTGCCCAATGTTTTGTTAGAGTTACAGAAATAGGTGAGTATAAATAAATTTGTACAACGTGATAATTGGAGTTTAGCTATAATTATGTACTCTCTCTTAACATGACAACATAATCCTGGCCCTCTCTAGACCAGGAATTGCCTTCTGCTGCCCAGACCAGAATCTGGTGATTGAAAAAGAAGCAATGAGATGGATTTAATGCAGCAGTCTCAACTGGGGGCAATCCCCCACCCCCAGGGGACATTTGGCAATGTCTGGAGACATTTTTGGTTATCACACTGCGGGGAAGGGTTGCTACTAGTGAGTAGAAGCCAGGGATGCCACTAAATATCCTGTAATACCCATGACAGCTCCACACAACAAAAGATTATCTGGCCCAAAATGTCAGTAGTCCCGAGACAGAAACCCCAGCCTTATGGAAGCTGGGTGTTGGACTCTGGGGTGGGTCTTTGTCTCTTCTGCTTACTCTCCCCTCCCAGCTTCATTCAGCAAATATACATGCTGATATTCTGTTGGCCTCTGCTACATGCTCAAGTTTATGCTAAGTATACTCACAAGACAGTGTTTCTGTTTATAGAGAGTTTAGACTTTGGGATGTAGGGGCAATAACACCCCTACCTAAAAAACAATTAAAGCAGGGTATATAAAAAATTCCCACAGGTCCTACCGGACTCAGAAATATGTGATTGAGCATAACATTGCTGGAGAAGCAATTATTTGTTTTAATTCATTTGTCTCTGAAATATTTTTCTTTAAAAACACACATAAATCTATTTTTGTACTATAATAATACTTTTTTCTGTGTTTGGACTGCTTTGGACATTCTCAGCAAATGAGGGCTAGCCTGACAGACTTTACAGTGATCTTTGGTCAATGAGTTAGCACACTATTTTACAATGACCTCAGCAAATTAGCATTCTACCGTGTTATCCTAAATCATGTGGTGTGATGTTATCCACTGTACTCTTTCATTGTGCCATTTATTCTGTGCATAGTTTTGACCCACAAAGTTTGCAAAAGGTGTATATGTGATCATTCCAACATGCCACAAAGAAACAAAGGAATAAAATCATGCTGGATGTTAAAAATTCGAGTTTTATGGTGGTTCCTAGAGCCCTCTAAAATCAAGTTTTATTGTGATTCCTAACACCTTCCAGGTGAAAGATCAGGAGGTAATTGGGAATTGGTAAAAGTCCATAAATATCACTGCAGCCTGAGAGGATTGATTAACAACGGTATGAACGAGAGTTGCAAGAAATGACGACCAGAGGTATGTCATGACTTTGGTGGATTTGAAAAAATGGAAGCTCAATTGCCAATGGACAGTGCTGGATGTACCTCCAAAGATACTATGTTATAACCATTCTACATGGAGTTGATTTCAGCTAATGGTACCATTTTCACGAATGCATCCTGCAAGCTCATGCTAAACAAGGAAATCATGTACAGATAATAAAAGCTATCAGAGATCAGAAAAGGAAGAAACAGAAGCAGCAGGCTGAGATAAGTGTCAACTCTGTGCTCCTCATCCATGTGTCTGTGTGCACCTCTATCATGACATTGCATTTGAATTTTTCATTACCTTTTTCTGTTCAGTAGAGGGTGAGCTCTTTGAGAGCTCCTTGAGCTCTGTGTTCCACATTGACTCATTGGTGTCCAGTTTAATGAGGCATATTTAAGCTCTGAGTAAATTTGTTTAATTGAATTGAGTTGGGTCAGCATAATAAGGGAAGGCATCTTGATGAAGATGGGAATTAAGCTGGACCTTAAAGAATAAGTGGCATGTCTGGCATCAGCAAAATCTCCAGACTCTGCCCAGGGGACCCAGCCTGGGTCAAGGACTTGGAAGCTTCAGGGAGAGGATCTCCTATCATCAGGGATGAGGAAGGCAAGAACAGAGCTGAAAGAATGAGAGAGACAGAAAGAGAGGGGAGGAGGATCTTTTACCTGTCTCCATCTGTGTGTCTAGCCTGGGGAGGTTGGAAAGGGGGTGGGGAAGAGGAATTGTTGTGCTGGACTTGGTTTTTGGTCTGTACAGTTCAGGAGTCTGTAACCCACAGAGGTCCCAACGCAGCTGCGCTAGATATTGTCTCTGAAATAAACATTAGATAGTAAGCATGTCCATTGTCTTGTAAAGTTGAATACTTGCATACCCTATTACCCAGAATTCCATGCCTGGGTGTATATACCTACGAGAAATTTTAGTATATGTTCACTGGAAGACAGGTATAATGATGTTCACAATAACATTATTTGTAAAAGCAAAACTTTGGAGTCAATTCAGTTGTCCACCAACAGAAAAATGGATAAATTGTGCTATTTTTGTAGAATGGAATACAAAGCAACAGTAAAAATGAATGAATCATAGCTAAAATGTAGCAACATAAAAGAATATCAGGAATATAACAGTGAGTGAAAAAAGTAAGTCCCAGAAGATACTGTGTAGTGTGATGCCCTCTATACAAAGCTTAAAAAACAAGTAAAACAAAGGAATATATTGTGTAGGCATTCACACAGACATACGAGAAACCTTTAACAAAAGGCATGAAAATGGAAACACCAAGGTTGGGATAGTAGTTACCTCGGAGGGGCTGATCTGGGAGACCATGGAGGAAGAGCACATAGGTAGGTATAAATTATTAGTAATTTTTTTTTACCTTCTCTGAGTAGGAATTTAGACCTCCTTTAAATATATATATTTCTCTAAATCATCTTCAGATTACTTTATGTTTTCTGCCTTTATCTTTGCTTAGAGGTAATAAGAAGCCAAGTTTGTTACCTACAATGTGGAGTTGTTTTTCCTTTTATTGATCCTCAAGTAACAATATCAACCTATCAAAGACCGCTCCAGAATACTCTTAGTATTGCTGGATTTGGTGAACCTTTGTTTGTTTGTTGACCTTAAAGTCATGACTAGATATGTTTTACACATTTTCCCCAGCCTTAATCAGACCAGACAAGATAGCTAATTTTCTTCAGTACTGAAGCACCTTCATTTAATTTGACATTTATGTGAAAAGTATTGTGCAAGGTGCTGGAAGAAAAAATAAAGATGAATATAACGTGATCTCTGCCCTCACAGGAGCGTTCAATTGAAGTTTATGAGGAAAATCTGGCCTCATACAGATTTGTTGTTGGAAAAGGGAGGAGCATTTTAAGAGCCTTTTCATATAATTAAGGATATTCTTTGATTTTTCACAAAAACTCGACGAGGAGTGGTTTCTTAAAGATGAGTTGCGATATGGAATCTGAAACCATATCAATAAACATTTCTTACCCTGTTACATTAAAATCCATTGGTCCTTCCTGTACTTTAAATGAATCTTTTACCCATGCATTGGTCATTTGAAAATATTAGTTCACAAAGTTATGCGGATCTTTCAAACGTTGATACCATTTCATTATATACAGTATTTTAAAAATCACATTTAATATCATTGCCAATATCATCAGAAAAGTCTTTAATTACTGGGAAGCTGTCAAGCTCATGATGATGAATACAAATTGTCCAAAATTCTAATTTTCATTTGAAAGCTTGAATTTTATCATTGGCAATAATTACTGTCAGATATTTTCCTTGAAGTGACAGCATCACTTTGTTCACTTTTGAGAAAATGTCTGCGGAATACCCAAGTCTGAATGACCATAGTTTTCCAGTCATTCTTTCAATTAAAAGTGACATTCCGTGAAAAGAGCAGCTAGTTCTGCTCAGAACTCAAACAGTTGCACAACAGCTTTCCCCGAAGGTAGCCCTTATTTCAGTAGGAACAGAAGGGCATGCTTCCACTTCATCACACAGAATATTAAAAAGATTTATACTTGAGCTCAAATTTTAATAAAATTAACTTTTTTTTACTATTTTATCGAGGTTTTATTTTTGTTCTGTTTTTGTTTTTTTACTGTGAGTGCATGATGGTGAAAAAATAGTTTGGTGCCACTGCCTTAAACTGTGCTGAGGAGCCAGTAGTTTTACCCCCCACTGCTTTGCAAATCACTGCAAATGTCAACCTAGCGAGACAGGCAAATAACCTCTTACTATTGTTATAAAAATAGTTTTGACTTTGCAGACCCCCAAAAGGGTCGTGAGAACCCCCAGATATCTACAGACCAAACTTTGAGAATTACTGGATTAGATCGTTCTTATTTAGATCATTTCTCAGAAATCTCATTATTTACGCATTTCTGAAGAGAAGAACTCATTTATCTTTCCATTCCTAAGTGAGTTCTTTATGTGTAACAAAATAATTATTGACCTCCACTTCAGGTCAATCATTTTAATGTTTTTTATTGGATGCTTTTTAAAAGTCTAAGTTGATTATACTACATGTTCCTCTATTTTGTATTACATCTGTGAGAAAAAGCAACATCTTCTGCACAGCAAAGGAAACAATCAACAAAATGAAAAGGCAACCTATGGAAGGGGAGAAAATACCTGCAAACCAAATATCTGAAAAGGAGTTGATATCCAAAGTATATAGGGAGCCAGCCTTATATATATATATAACGAACTCATACAACTTAATCGCAAAAAAAAAATACAAATAACCTGATTTAAAAATAGGCAAAGGACCTGAATAGACATTTCTCCAAAGAAGACATACAAATGGCCAACAGGTATATGAAAAGGTGATCAACATCACTAATCATCGGAGCAAAGCAGATCAAAACCACAATGAGGGGCCAGCCTGGCGGCATAGCAGTTAAGTTCATGCTTTCCGCCTCGGCAGCCCAGGGTTCACGGGTTCAGATCCTGGGCATGGACCCACTCACCACTCATCAAGCCATGCTGAGGCGGTGTCCCACATAGAAGAGCTACAGTTCTACAACTATGATATACAACTATGTACTGGGGCTTTGGGGATAAAAAAGAAAAAGAGGAAGACTAGCAACAGATGTTAGCCCAGGGTCAATCTTCCTCAAAAAAAAAAAAAAATCACAATGAGCTATCACCTCACACCTGTTAGAATGACTATTATCAAAAAGACAAACGATAACAAGTGTTGGTGTGGCTGTGGAGAAAAGAGAACTCTTGTGCTCTGTTAGTGGGAATGTAAATTGGTGCAGCCACTATGGAAAATAGTATGGAGGTTCCTCAAAAAATTAAAAATAGAACTACCTTATGACCAGGAATCTCACTTCTGGGTATATATCCAAAGGAAATGAAATCAATATCTCAAAGAGACATCTGTACTCCCACGTCCATTGCAGCATTATTCACAATAGCTGAGATACGGAAACAACCTAAATGTCTGTCGATAGATGAATGGACAAAGAAAATGTGAGATAATTATATATATATTATACACTTACACACAATGAAATGTTATTCAGCCTTTAAAAAGATTCCTGCCATTTGCAACAATATGGGTGAACTTGGAAGACATTATGCTAAGTGAAATAAGCCAGACACAGAAAGACAAATATTGCATGATCTCATTTATGTATGAAATCTAAAATAGTCAAACTCATAGAAGCAGAAAGTAGAATGGTGGTCATCAGGGGCTGAGAGAGAGAGAGAGAGAGAGAGAGAATGAGGAATTGGCTCACAAAATTACGGAGGCTGAGGAGTCCCTCAATCTGCCATTTGCAAGCTGGAGACCCGGGAAAGTACAATTCAGTCCAAGTCCAAAGGCCTGAGAACCAGGGGGGCCAATGGCGTAAACCCCAGTCCAATGACCAGAGAAGATGAAATGAGATGACCCAGCTCTATCATCGAGGCAGGGAAAAAAAAGGAGTGAATTCCTCTTAACTCTGGCTTTTGTTCTAAAAGAGAAAATAATATCTAGAATACAATACTATTTATGTAAATTAATAACACTAAATATTTCTCAAGGATAAAAAGATGCATGTACATAGGAACATACAGTAAACATCGTAGAGTGGGTGCTTATGTGGAGGAGAGGATAACGGTAGTATAGATGAAGGGGAAAAATAATAAAGCAAGAGAAGGGACTTGAAAGGACTGGTGCTGACGGTCTGCCATGAGCGTGAGAGACATAGAGCAGATTTTGGAGAGACAGACTTCTATTCAATTTCCAGTTCTATCACCTCAGGGTCCTCATATGTGAAATGGAGATAATAATAATCCTTCCTCAAAGGGCCCTTGAGGGCATTAAGTGAAGTAGTATCTGTGAAGCACTTGGTATGGTGCCTGCCACACGCCATAGCGTTCATGCTACAGCCCTCGCTGAGAGTGAGCTGGTGTCATGACCATCAGCAACAGCAGTATTATCTTATTATTGTCATCATCATCACTGGAAACATTTTATTCATGAGAATTCTTATCAGACGATGGAATATCTTGTCCAGAAATTATGTTGTGAGAGGCTTCAAAGAATTTCTCAGGTAACAAATGATAATTGCTAAATTTCTCTCCATAGTAAAGGGGTGAAGAATTAGAAATTCTGCAGGGAAAAGTCCTGGATGGAGAAAAAGATCCAACTTGGGGAAAATGCAGAAGAAAGCCTAGAATAAAAAAATGTTGGGTGGGAGATTCTGCAAGCCAAATTCTGAGCATTGTATGATATGAACTCTATCGGTGATTCTAGAGATATTCAGGGAAGACTGTACACCTCATGAATTTTGGGTGTAATCAGGTTTCTTGTGGAATCTGATGAAGTGACTGAGATCTGTGTTCTGAGTGAGAAGCCAAAACAGCATCAGCTTGTGTAGACTAAGGGGACAGCTGATGGGTGTGTTACATTCCTGTCGCAGAGGTGGGGGCCTGGTGCAGAAGCCAGACCTCTGGGGCAGCTGTGGATGATGTGAAGACGCCCACACTGGCCCGGGATGAGGTGTCAGGCCGAGTGTGGGGGAGCCCGCGTGCATTGCCTAGCCCAGGCACCGCTAAAGAGCCAGTTTATGATCTCTGTTCTCAGTATCCGCTTCTTCTCTCCCTCTGCTGCTCCTGAGCACCTTATCAAACACCTCCCTACTTTTCAGACCCATATGACTCTCTCTCTTTTATCAAAATTTGCTCTCAAAACAGGATCTGAAGTGGCCAGCATAGTTTAAATGACCAATCATATTTCCCTAAGAGGCATTTGCATTTTTAACGAGGACTAGCACATTAAGAGAAACTATGAGAGAATTCTCAGAGTGAAGCTTTGGGCATCAGCAAGCAAGGGGGAAAGACACTGTCTTAAAGAGAGTCGACAGTGTCTGACAGTCGATCTCCTTCCTGCCAGAATTCCAAGGGAAGGAGGTGCCCCAGTACTGAACAGCCACAGGTGAGGACAGGAGACCATCCAAGGAGACATACAATCAGGTTGGAAAATTCATTAAGTATTTACATGAGAATTCAGGTTCCCCATTGCTCGGGGTATGATCATGTGTCTCGGAAAGCACAAGAAGTAGGGCCAGGAGGTCGGGTCTGAGAAGATTCTGAGGGACTGACGCAGTGACTTCTCTGCGACAGGTAAGGAGTCCTAGAACTGAGGTGTGGTTGGGCAGGTTTGCCGGGATGAATAGAAGGAAGGAAGGCATAAGTGAGTGGAGATGCCATAGGGTGAGATCATTGGGGTGCATAGGAAAGAAGAGTTTTCTAATTTCTGAGGGTTTTAGGTTTCAGGAAGGAAGAAAGAAGAGGAAACACATTACATTTCTATCCTTGACTGGGACACTGGAAGACAGTGACACAGAAGGTGGTTGGCGAGTCATGTCTTTCTGTCTACTCATCTGTGGGAGGATCTGTGTGTACCTCTGGGTGCAGGAAACCCAAAGTCAGCCTCACTAAAGGCCTCATACCAATGTCTGTTATCAAGGAATGAGCAGAATAAAGACCCTGGGTGGAGCTTGAGGACATGAAAATGTGTCCTCCTCAATTGAGGCTTACAGGGCTGACTGGAAGGTGGGGAGGAGGTGAAATGGGAGTGGGATGTCAACAGGAGCCTGAGGGTGGCAGGGTCACCTGCCAGAGCCTGGGGTTCTATTTGGTTCTCTTGGGCTGCTGAGGGCACAAGCTCTGCTCAGCAGGCCTTCACCACAGAAGTTGGGGCTGGCCTTAGATGTGAGGTGGTTGTAGGAGTGGAGGTGGGACAATGCCTGGTGCTTGGGACACCTGAGAGTTGACACATGTCCAGCCTGTCTCCTGCTCTCTGCAATCTACTATCTTCAGGAATTAGGAATGGGTGGGAGAAGCAGCAATGTCTCTCAGTACTCAGTGGTCAGCGTTGGTCACCTCTCTCTCCTTCCCCATCCCATGCCGGTGCATCTCCATCGTTCTGCAGCTGCTGCAGGGAAGCCCATCATGTGGGCACTGACAGCCCTCCTGCTCCTGAGTGAGTCCTCAATGAGGCAACAGCAGCATAAGGACTTTGGGTGTGGGGTGTGGGCCAGTGTCTGTGTGTGTGTGTGTTGGGGGGATATTCAATCCTCGATTCCAAACAATTCATTATCTATTTTTGGAGGGGCAAAGACGCGGGTTCTCAGAGCAGAGGAAACTAAAGGCAGAAGAAAAACAGGTCTTGAGACCTGTTGAGTCTTTCTTGTGGTCAATAGAGTCCCTTTCTTCCATCTCATCTCCAACATTCCCCTTCTTCTTCCTTCTTTAATTCTTGTTTTGCAGTTCCAAGCAATGGGCAAGCCGGTGAGTCTTATACATCCCTGATCCCAGTTTCCTACATCTTCCACTCCAGCCCCCCTAAGTGACCTGCTTGGGTACTCCCCACTTCTTGGCTGTTCTGGGATAGTGCCTTTTCCCACTCCTCCTCAATCCCTGTGACTCAGTTTGCCTGTAGGCACTTAGAAAGGAGTGCACTTAGAAATGTGTGCTAACTGAGGCACTGATAGTGTGTAGCCCAATGCGGCCTCTCCTCCCTGAGAGGTGGGTTAGTAACGTGGGCTGGGTCCCGAAGCTGGAGTTTTCTGAGATTTCTCAACCCTGGAACGCATCTTTGGGCACCTCACCTTGATTCTCTTTTCCACATTGCCCCCTCCCACACACCTCCAGCTACTCTAGAGAAGCCCATATTGTCTCTACACCCGCCTTGGACCACAATCTTCAAGGGGGAGCGGGTAACCTTGCGGTGTGATGGGTACCACCCTCTGCTCCTGGAGCTCCGGCCCATCAGCACTCTCTGGTATTTGGGACACCTACTCCTGCCCTCTCACAAGAAGAGCATCGAGGTGCAGACACCAGGGGTGTATCGATGCCAGACAAGGGGAGCACCTGTCAGTGACCCCATCCACCTCTCTGTGTCCAATGGTGAGTGGTCTGAGGAGGAGGGGAAGGACAGCACCTGTCCCCTCTGGCAGTACTGGCCCTCCCGTGGGAGAGGACACTGGGCCACTCCCATCGGGACAGGAACCAGGGGCTATCTCAAGTCTCTGGAGCAGGCAGGGGCCTGCATGGCACTATGCGAGGGATGCAGTAAAGCTTGTCTGCTCCCAAAGGTCCCCTCACCCTCCTGCCACTGTGGGCGGCAAATAAACATTTCTGTTTGTTTATGAGACTAGTCAGAAGAGCAGAGGCTCTGAGGACCTGGGATACTGGACAGAAAAGTTTGCCAGAGGGCAGGGAGAGAAAGGGCAGAGCAAAGCAGGAAAAGTGAGGGTCCCTGGGCAGGCTGCATGCAGCTGGGGGAATTACTCTTGATTGAACATTGTGGTGCCTCTCTGCACCTCCCATCAATAAAATAGGGACCATAATAGTATCTATCTCTTTGGTTGTTATGAAGATTATAAATGAACTACATCATATTGTTAAAGAAAAAAGCAGCAGTTGAACAGAGTACTTAATCAAAATTTTATTACAGACATGTACGTATGTGTACACGAGGGTCAATTAAGAAATTGACTTCCTGGGGATACTTACAGGGTTTCAAAACAGAATAAGAGAAATAACAATTTTTCATTAGGGCCCAGGATTGGCTACTTCATAGGGAATATAATATCTTAGCCTGGTAGGCCACAATTTGTATTCAGAATTTAAAGATCATCACTCAGTGTTCAGATTAGCACTTATACACACTTCACATCCACACTCTGGTTTCTCGTTTGGAAATCGATGGTGAGTACAGACAAGATACTGACCATGACAGACTGTGGTTACTGTTTGCGGAACTGAGAGTAGCATATAATTGTGGCTGTTACTTGCAGAATTCATTTTCAATGTAAAACACCTAAAATAGCATCTAGCACATGTTAGGGCTATGTGTTAGCTATGATGATGACGTTGATGGGTAAATACAGAGTGCTGTGGGAAGTACCTAAGGCTGTCCTGGGGCTTAGGGACATTTCCTGGGGGAGATAAGGTCTAAGCCTAGACCTACAGGACAGGCAGACCTCAACTAAAACAGGTGAAGGGGAGTCTTCCTGGCAGGTACAAAGGCTCTGGGCTCCGAGCAGGGCCACTTCTCCCAGCGGTTCAGTATGGCCGCACTTAGTCTGCATTAGGAGTGGAGGGTGGAGAGGGTAAAGGAGAAATGGGGCAGGGGAGAATACTGAGATGATGCTGGAGTGGTAACCGGGGGCCAGGTCAGGAAGGCCCTGATGCCATCCTAACGAGTTTAAACTGCATTCTGATGGGCATTACTCTTTGAGGTGGGAACCAAGTCTCAGGCATCTTTGACTTCCTGGTACCTAATCAAAGACCAGTCCTCCCCTTTCCCTACTCACCAACTAATGCTCCCTGCTCTGAGGCTCCTGGGGTGCCTGCCGCTCAGTCAGAGGGGAGTGAGTTGGTGGGGGGGCGGGGGGGGGAAGGAGAGCAGCTCTACGGGGGAAGCAGGGAGGTGGAGAATGAGAGACCCCCAGGGCTGAACTTCCTCTTGGAGTCAGGCCTGTCTGTGGTGACTGTCGCAGACTGGCTGATCCTGCAAGTGCCCTATGCTGCGGTGTTCGAGGGCGAGCCGCTGGTCATGCGCTGCCGTGGCTGGTATGATAAAATGGTCTACAAGCTTCACTACTACCACGACGGCCAGGCCGTGCGCTACTTCCACTCCAGCGCCAACTACACAGTGCCGCAGGCGCGCGCCAGCGACAGCGGGCGCTACCAGTGCTCCGGCACCATGCGCATCCCAGTGGAGAGCGCGCCCATGTTCTCCTCCAAGGTGGCCGTGACCGTGCAAGGTGGGGGACACGTGGGGCCCGGGAGGGAGGCAAACGAGCGCTGGGAAGTTGTGGGACAGGAATCAGGCGGAGAAAGGAGAGGCGGAGATTCAAGTAGCTGCCACATGGCAGATTTCTCTGCTAGACCACTGACACTTTCTCCTCTCCTCCGCAGTGAAGGCGCCACTCGATCTGCAGCCTGCGTGGGGGCGGGTGTCCCTTCCCCCTGCCACACACCCCGGCTTCTTACTCCGGGTGGGCACTCCACATAGGGGGCAGCTCTGTCCACAGCCCCAGCCAGAATGGTGGCGGCAGTGGTAGGGGGTCGCTGTAGGACTGGGGCAAGGGAATGGCTCCTGTGCGTCCCGCGAGGCAGGCGCAGCGACCCCCTTCTGGGCTGGAGAAGACGAGCTGGGTGTCAGCCGGGATGTGACATTAAGCATCTGGTCCGGTCCTGCCTCCTTCCAATCTTTTCCCGTCCCTTATGGACTCGGTCCCCCTACCCCACATTTCAGAAGGCTTTCCTTCCTCCCTCCACGCGTCCACACAGACTCCTCCCACACCTTCTTGGTCCCCTGGGTGGCAAGGAGCCCTCGCGGGAAACCGGAAGGAGAGAGGGGTTGCGGGGCCGTGGACAAGCGGGACCTGGTGCCCTGGGACCTTTGCTCCGGGCAAACGTGCATCCCAGCCACAGGGTCCCCCTCTCCGCAGAGCTGTTCCAGGACCCAGTGCTGAGGGTGATGGGCCCAGTGGAGGCCCGCGGCGGGGTGGTCGTGCGCTGCGACACGCGCCTGCACCCGCAGAAGCGCGACACGCCGCTGCAGTTCGCCTTCTACAAGTACAGCCGCGCCGTGCGCCGCTTCGACTGGGGCGCCGAGTACACGGTCCCGGAGCCCGAGGTCGAGGAGCTGGAATCGCACTGGTGCGAGGCGGCTACCGCCACCCGCAGCGTTCGGAAACGCAGCCCTTGGCTGCAGCTCCCGGGGCGGGGTGAGTGACCTCACGCCCTCCCGGGACGTCCAACCGGGCGGGCAGCCCTGTCTCAGCCTCTGGGCACCTACGAGTCTTCCCCGCACTCCTCCTCCTGCCACCTGCCCCTGCCTTCCCCTTTCACCGTCCCCGCCCTCTTCAACCCCTTCGGCTCCCTTCCCTCCTCTGCATTCCTAGTCCTGCCCTCCTCCCTCCCCTCCCTGGCCCAGTGCCTCCCTCCCACACACCCAACTGCTCGCCCCCTCCTTCCCCCCGCTGGCCGTGGGAGCCTTAAGGATTGCAGCCGCGCGGTACTCAGTGTGTTGCTTTCACAGGTTCTCCCCTGGACTTGGCGTCCACCACCGCCCCCGTCCCACAGGCCCCTGCCTTGGCGCCCAGTAACAAGCCGCTTTCCTTCAGAAAGTCCCCGGTGTCCAGATCTGTCCCATCGGTCACCTCCGTCTCGAACACCACCTCAGCGGGGCTGCAGTTCCCAGCGGGCAGAGCCCCCACTGCTGGACCACCGGCCTGCGCTCCGCCGACCTCCTTGGAACAATCAGCTGGAGCCCTGAAACCCGACGTGAACCTTCTGCTCCGAGAAATGCAGCTGCTCAAAGGCCTTCTGAGCCGGGTGGTCGTGGAATTAAAGGAGCCACAGGCCTTCCCAGAGCACAGGGAAACACTCGAGACCCTCACTTCCCACTTGGCTGCGAGCCCGGGAACACCGGAAACCGCTACTGTGGAGAGCTGAGGTGGGGGGAGGGGGCTACTGTCCCCTTTCCAGACTCATTCATCCCTGGTCTCTCCTGCTTCCCATCACCTGGAGACCTTTCAAAGCCGTCTCTGTTTGCATCCCTTTATTTTGCAGTGGTTTTTAAAGAAGCACGCATAAAGTGTGGTAGTTGATGATCTCAGTCTTACACAGCATATTTGAGCAGTTGGTAACCACAAGGCCTTCCCTCTGATCTCTTCCTTCCCCTCACAGGACTCAGTAAGAAGTTGAAACCTGTTATTTACTACTTAGAGGTTCATGTTTGGAAGTGAATTTAGTCATCCTTAGCTTTTCATATAAGCCCACCCAGCACATATTTCAGCACAGGCAATTTTTTGGTACTTAAGGTCATTGAGGTAACTGAGCCCTCTGGAACATTTTAGGGTCAAGTTGTAATCATTCATAATGAATTTAATGTTAATTTTAAAAAAACTTTCAGTTCTATTTCTGATGAGTTTATACCCTCAAAGTTCTGGGTTCTATTTAAATAGTTTTAGAGAGGGAAAGGTATTCGTGTGGGCCTCCCATTCCGGGTGATAAGGGTCAGAGTTCTGTTAGACTGGCCCAGATGCGCCTCCTGCCCCACTGTAGCTAGATAAACTGGTGGGCTCTGGTAACAGCAGATAGGCCATGCTCATTTTAGCCATAAATTAAACAAGCGGTACCATTTGCACTGACAAATCTCTTTGAAGAAAGTTTAAGTCAAATCCTCAAAATTGCTAAATTCCAGTTTTTTAGCAGTTTTTTTTACTTCCCTAAGAGCGATTCTAACACTAACACACCTAGACACACATGTGCACAATCTGTATCCCACCCTGCCTGGAGACTTGACTGTCACTTGAAGGAAAAAAACAAGGGGCCATTTCAATTGCAATTTCAGAGGTGTGCTCCCTACAAGTCCATTTTCATGAATCTCCCATCTGCCTACTACAGCCATTGGTTCTCTGCAGGTTGGTGTGACTTGTTCTCAGGAAGTCTCGCTCTCATTGGATCCATCAGTTAAGCTTCACTGTTACGCTTAGAACTGATAAGAACTCTACTCTCCCATTTACTTCTACATGATAGATCTTCAGTCACAACCCAATTTCCCATTTCTTTTTGAGTGATTAACCAGAATACATCAACATCCTTCCTCATTTTCTCCTTAGTATTATCTTCACCATGTTATTATTACAAAGTCACTAAAATTATACAGAGAGAGAGGCAGGCAGGTACACACATAAATTACAATGCAATTTGATAAGTACTCTATGAAACACTATGGGAATGCAGAGAAGGAAGCTGAATCTTGAAAGCAGAGCAAGAATTCACCAAGTGGAGATGCGAAAAAGATTGAGGGGAAGGGCATGTAGGCTGAGGCAGCAAAGGCATGGAGACGTGAAAGTGTGTGTTTACAGAGCTGCCAATAATTGGGAGTCGTTGGAGAATTATGTGTGTGTGGGTGTGTGTGTGTGTGTGTGTGTGTGTGTGGAGGGGGCGTATTTTAGGAAGAAGGTGGCAGGAGATGAATGTGAGGAAGTAGAAAGAGATCAGCATGTGAAAGTTTTCTTAAGTCCTTTAGCCTGTTGAGTATTTGGGATGGATATTTGTTTTTTTTGTTTGTTTTTTTTTTTTAAAGATTTTTTATTTATTTTTTGCCCCCCAAAGCCCCAGTAGATAGTTGTATGTCACAGCTGCACATCCTTCTAGTTGCTGTATGTGGGACTCGGCCTCAGGATGGACAGAGAAGTGGTGCCTCGATGCGCACCCGGGATCCGAACCCGCGCCGCCAGCATCGCAGCGCGCGCACTTAACCACCAAGCCACAGGGCCAGCCCTGGGATGGATATTTGGAAGCATTCCTTAGATGAGGGCATCAATAAGTCTTACTGGAGGAGATGCTAACTTAAAATGATAAAAGAAGAATCAGATAAACTGATCTCAGTGGACGCTTTCTGATCCCTGAGAAAGTATGTCCAGGCTCCTATAATCCAGTTCTGGGGTTCTAGTTTACAAGGGTCTTTGTGGCTCTGATTTCCAGCTTTCTAAAGCAGGCTCATCTCACTTCTCAGAACTCTCCTCCCAGGAAGCCTTCTATGCTAACCCCCCTCTACCCCAGTGGCCAGGATCCTTCCCCCTTCTGATTTTGTTCCCCTGATTTTCTGCCAGCCCTGATCTAGACAGGAAGTGGCAAGCATCAGTGCCCAGAGGCTTAGTAATCAAAGGATCACAAGTCATAAAAAAAATAAGTTGATCATTTTTTAAGAGAGCAAAAGAGTGAAATAGCCACTCACAAGACAGTTAGTGTGGCAGTATCGCCTTCATTTACACCTTGTTAACAGCCACGCTATCCTTCTTCCCGTCCTGCCACCTGCCTGCATTTAGAACTAGGGATGTGGGGGATGGGGAAGAAAAAGGTCTTATGAGTGAGAACAAAAATCATTCATGACAATTTTTCTGTAGGTGGAAGGAAGGGAATTGATGTTTACGCCCTCTAGACTCCACTGTCTCTAAGCCCCCCAGCTCTCATAGATCACCCCCTACAATATCTGTTAATGATTTCCCAGGAAAGCCTGCACTGAAGAAATAACAGCTTTGCCTCACCCAGCCTCTGTCTGAGTTTCCAACACGCATTGAGAGAAGCAGAAGGCTAGCTAGCCCAAGGAGAATTGCAGAGCTCATTCCCAAGCATCAAGCACAGCAATAAGATGCTGGAGAAGCCGGGGGAGGAAGCTGCTTCTCTCTGGTTCTCTGATCAGTTCTGTGGCTCAGACTCAGGCCTCAGACCCTAAACTTACTATGTCCATACCAGATACCAAACAAGGAACCCAAATGTCCTCCGTCAGAGAGCAAAAAGGATCCTGGCAGGTTCCATTTGGATCTCAGCCTTACTCTCTCATTCTGTCCTCCCCAAGTTTGTTGCTTATATCAACTTTACTTTACGGAAAGAGGGAACTCTTTGGGTTCCACATTTATGACTTTTTTCCTAAGACAGTGAATCTAATCCTCTAGGTTAAGGTCCAAACTCCCTATCATGGCATAGGGAGCCCATTCACCCTGTACTGCAGCCACACCAACCACTTGCTCTTTCCCCAGCACACCAGCCTCTTTTGTGCCTCTATGCCTTTGCATGTACTTTTGCCTCATCCTGTATGGGGAACTGCACAGGCCTTCTGAGCCCAAGCTTCCTCATCTGCAAAATGAGGGAAATAAATAAAAATAACCCCACAGGGAGAGAGAAACAAATAAACAGACTCTTTCATTAAGACAGGAGATGCTAATGTGCTTAGAAGCACAGAGGAAGGGCACTAAACCCAACATGGGGGTTCAGAAATCACTTCCTAGAGAGATGACATCTGCCGGTCCCTATTGATGGACTATTAGATTTTTCCTAAACTTTTGATGTTTCAAATTATGCCACAATGAATATCCTTACACCTATATCTTTATGCACATATTTGAATATATCTGTGGGATAAACTCCTAGAAGTAGAATTGCTGGATCAAAGGATATGAGTCTTTTTAATTTTAGTAGATATTGTCAAATTATCCCTCAAAGAGGTTGTACCAATTTGCACTTCCACTAATTATGCGTGAGAGAGCTTGTCTCTCCTACCCCAGTCAAGAGAGCACATCATCATACTTTTATTTCTTAATTAAACCCAGAGAACCTCTTGACTCTTTATCCACTGTTGAATGCCTCCAATTGGACCCTGATAGCATTACTAACGGTACATCATGCAGCAGCCCAGCAGTACAGTCCCCCTGGAGTCAATGGCCCTGTTTGTAATGCTAACCCGTCCATTTTCTGAATTCCTTGCTAGCTAGTTCACAGTTAACTAAGGGAAATGCACTCCTGACTATACTTCCTTATTAAACATGGACTTCGGCCAAGTAGAGCTCTTATTCTAAGCCAGATTATCCTAGTTCTTCACCAAATTTCCATGTACTACATGTAACACATGCTATAGTTCGCCCATACTGGTTTAGTTTGTTCCCCAGTCATTACTCCTGCAAAGATAATTGGCTTCAATGCTGACATCCTATTTATAATAAGAGGCCTCATATAATTGTACATCCCTGATTCAGCTAACATCTGAGGCTAAAGAATTGGTACAATACACTTTAGTCTTTTTCAGTTCCAAGGAGCCACTCTCGTTACCGTGATGTGGGAGATGACCATTCTCCGATCTCTTAACAGTAATGTGCCCCCAATGTAGCATGTTAAATAGGCAAGCTAATTAGCTTTGGACCTAAAGGTGGTAGAGTATAGAATTTAAAAACCCTGGCTTAGGAGTCAATAGATTTGGGTTCCAGTGTCACTTTTACTACTTACCAGCTATGTAGCCTTGGGCAGGATACTTTATCTCTGAGGTTCGGCTCCCTCATTGCAGGATTGTGGGATAAACCATTAAAGAAAACTCTAAGAAAGAAAAAGTAACCAAGTATTCACACAACGTCTTTTAGGCTTAATTAGAAATAGAATTTTTTTAAATCACAAATCACTCTTACATATGCATAAAAAGGAAAATATAAGGGAAATAAATTGAGTAAGGTATTCCTAAAAGTTTTTCACTTTCAGAGTCTGACTTTTCTCAATCACTTTTTGACTCAGATTTATCTATGTCAAAATCTGTGAATTATCTATGAATTTTCCCACTTTTGTAACATCTTCTTTCCTCTAAAGAGTATTAGTAATGCAGCATTTCTTAAAAGAAGTCATAAGAGTAACAGTCACTGTTTCCAGACTTTTTAACCGGCTTTGTAATTATCTGGAGCTAGCTTACTTTTGACTTCTCGTTCAGGTGTGTTGCTAAACACATCTGATTCACCACCCACTCCACCTCTCCCCACAACCTACAATTGTTTCACTGTTGTCTCTAGAAATTTCTTCTAAGCTGCTCACACTCACTCTGTAAATTTTGATACTGGCATTTTAATGTTCATGTTTATGTCAGCAATGAAAACTATGACAAGACAGCAATTATAAGATGCGTTATGATTTCAGAGATGTTAAAATATAGTTTTAAAAAATCTTAGAATTAATAAAATAGAAAATGTACCCTGAAAGCAAATCTCAAAATGTCTGGGAAAAAAGTTACATATGACCCTACAAGTAGCCAGAGACTAAAGGTGGACATCTTTAGAGATGAATTGGAGGTCCTCAAAAATCTGATGGAAATTTAAAGACTGTTTAGTTCAACCAAGAAACCACTTCTTGAGACCTTTCTAAACTTCTTCTGCCATATGACCATGCAGCCACACTTGACTTTTTGTGAGGATGTGGCTGGCCCTCATTACCTCCCAAGGACAGCCCACTTTATCTTTGGACATCTCTGGCA